CTGTAATGTCCCTCCTAGCTTTTATTTTTAGGGTTCCGTACCTCAAAAGAAAAAACGGAACCCTTAAAGGATCACTTTGTTGTCCGTCTGTCTGTCTGTTAAGACCCTTTTTCTCAGGAATGCGTGGAGGTATCAAGCAGAAATTCATATATAAATATAATATAAAAATATTTTTAATAATTTTAAACTTATATACCTACGGATTTATTCGGAACCCTCAGTGCGCGAGTGCAACTCGTACCTGGCCGATTTTTTTTTCTTTTTCTTAGTATTTTCTACAATTGCTTAGCTCGGCGGGGGAGTACCTTACATCACCATGAATCCAAATGTTTTAAATATCAGTTAAAGTAACTTTATCGGATTTTTATGTCCTAAAATGCAAAAACTAAAAGCTAAAGCTAACTTGTAAGGCTAGTAAGTAACGTAACATGATCAATTCAATTTTCTATACGGCCGTTAATAATCCAAGAAAAACTTCTTTTTTTTAATTCTCCACGGCTTATAAAGATGATTTAAATCTGTTTACGGTTTTCTTCCCAATTTAATCGGAAAATTCTATTATCGTTCGCAAACGGCACCTTAATACATTCAACATTACGGTATTGCCCACTTTATCTTTTTCACGACTTCCGTCATTTTCCACGCGAACACTCTCCATAATTCGGTTAAACTCGAAGACGCGACAGTGGTATGCAATTACCTACAATTTATTTACATACTTCACGTCGTAAAAACTTTGTTGAGACAAAAAATGACAGAATGTGAAAGTCCTTTCTGTCCTTGTTCCTCTAACGAACCCCGACTGATTTATGTGTGCGCGCATTAATTAATAAGAAATGTTGCACACCCGTATAGTTAAATATGGTTTACACCCACACATATGTAAGAAGGAAGCGTATATGTTCAGTGTAAGCTATAGACGTTAACTGTTTATTTGCTTTTGAAATAATTATTTAGTTTTAATTAGGTGAGGGCTCTAATTTTCCGTGTGATGTCGGAGCAAGAGAATCCATCACCATAATATAGTCCTTGTAGCAGCTGGCGGAAAACCATGTCATATGTATTAAAAGTTGTTCTGGGTAGGTACTACTCACTTATAATAATAACAATAAAGATTTTTATTTGTCCAGATGCGTTGTCAGCCCTAAGGACTAAGATAGAATGCCTCTTTTCCAGTAAAATGGGTCTCCGGTTCTCTACACTCACCATACGAAACAGCAGTGTTAAGGTGCTATTTTACTCTGGTATTCTGTGAGAGCGTGGTCCTTCCCCGGTCGAGCCGGCCTATTCGTGCTACAACTATAGCATATAGCAGCATGGCTCTACCACGTTTACGTGCTATGCAAATCGGCAAATTTATATATGATACTTAATACCTGCCTCCAATTTTTGTTGTTCAGGTAACCATACTTTGCATTTCTTTCTAAATGATTTTGTATTCACAATCTCCTACTACATTTACCTATTTTTGCCGTATTCCATTTGAATCTTCAGAGATAACGGCACATCTGTAGCCTTCTTTGTTTGAGGTTGGTTGCAGATGTCCAAGGCCCGCAATTGTCACTTATCATCTGGTGTACTGTAAGTTAATTTGTCATTTGAAAAACAATATCGCTTTTACACCTAATTAACCTTCTAAAATAAAAAAAAATATAAAATATAATTAATTTTAAAAATAAAACATGTGATATACAATAAATCAGTACAGTAAAATAATATTAAAAATTTTTTTTCCATTCCTTTGAAAACAGAACAAACAACTTGTCAGCGCTTGTCGATTGGACCACACGATAACCCTGTACAAAGTCACGGCACTATTATTTCTTTTTTTTTAAGTTGTGATTTATTCTCCACTCGCATGTAAGGCCAGTTACAGTCAACTTGCCGGCGTATTTTAATTTCAATTTATAGGGCGATAGCTTATGAGTAGAGGTGCTGTATTATTAGATATGCGATTAATAACGCCTTTGATATAATTGGTTTTACGATATCGTTTTCCAAATTCAAAAGCTAAAAGCCAGATTGTAGAAAACGAATTTAGGGTTCCGTAGTAAAAAAAGGCAGTGTTACTGTTACAATTTCAATGATTTTATTTTCCTTAAAAGTAAGATCTAATCATTTCGTTATACACAACAACTAGAACTAAACATTCTCTTCTTAGGATTTTTATTATAAACGTTATCTCGGGAACCTTCAGAGTGTTTTAAATATATAAATTGCACATGACACAGACCCGCAACAATTATTTGTAAGCACTTGTTCTGTGCGGGATTTGTATCCACAGCCCCGCTGGGCCGCAACCAAACTATTAGCTACTGTTTCACCGAGCCGCCTTATAGCATTTATACACATTATTAAAAATATAAGATTAAACAAATTAACGGAATTTGTGCGTATGTGTTTACCAAATAATCCATTTATTTATTTTATTTATTTATTTTGTTGTTGTAAAATAAATAAATAAAATAAATAAATGGATTATTTTTAACATCACACAACAATTATTTTACTTTTAATATGAAATATTATCTTTTATTGTTGTCTTAAAAGATTATGTTTGTCGAAAAAAAAAAGAATGAAACGTATGTAGTTAAATTATTTCATTCGAAAGTCTTGGAATACGTTGTAGTAATTTTTAGCAAGGTGACGCAGGGAAACTGTTAGTATAATGACAGCAACATCTTCCCGATAACAACTGAAAATAATAAAAAACTGCCGCCTGTCAAGTGAAGCCACTATGTCGAAATCGTAAACGAGACTTAATTACGCCTATATTCATTAATCCACTACTTGCATTACCTTACACAAAAACCTATAGAATACCTTACAGAAAAAATAAATACACATATATACTCTGACGTAGTGCTTGAGTTATGAAAATGTATACACTTTATCTATTGAAGCAATATAATCGTAGAACGTTTTTATAAACTATGAATTAAGTAAAATGTCCACACTGGAACATGTTTACGATAATATCCGCCGCGGTAGCAATTTATGGTTAAAATTAATAATGTGTGTTTTATATAATAAAATTTAATTCCCTTCGCTTTGAAAGTGAATACTTATCTTCTGAATTATAAACGCTTTTAATATGACGTTTTACGTGGTAAAGCTACGCTGCATATTATGGTTGTAGTATTCGGCTCAACCGAGGAAGGACCACGCTCTCCAGAGCGTGGTCCTTCTGGCTTGAGGCTGGCGCCTGAAATAGCAGTTTAATAATGCTGTGTTTCGTACGGTGAGTGGAGATAACGGGAGACCCTTTTTACTGGAAACGAGACATTCCATCTTAGTCCTCAGGGATGACAACGCATCTGCATTTTAATTCTTAATCGAAGATAGATGTAGGTCTATGGGTCACAGCATCTGCTTACCATGAAGTAGACTGTGTGCTCTTAACTCTTGTTTGAAACATTACGTTTTTTTTCTAAAAGTTTAATGCATTGACGAGGGTATCGAGCATTATTTCGCTTTCGCAGGAACGTTTTTTACGCCTTTATTGTAATGTGACTGTTATACTTCGTATCAAATGGTTAAATGGCCCGATCGCATGTGTTTCAATAGTAATAATTATTTAGTATCGCCGGTCAGACACTTCAATTTTGCACAAATGAATTTCCATTGGAAACCGGAACCGAACACTATTTAGCAACAAAATGCTATTATTATTTATATATTATTATTATGATTATAACACTAAAGAGTACATGATTGGCAATAGAGCAAAGTTAGATATTTTATACGATGCAATATATACTGCTATTATATTCCTATGTTTTGGTTTTTTTCCATAATTTAATTATTTTTAGGAATTTCGAAAATTGTCAAAACTGTGCTGTTATAAAGTTTATCGACCAAATTGGCGATATATTAAAAATGGGCCAAATCAAGAGTACCATTAACCGACGAGCGTGTATGCGTAGGTATATGGATGTGGAGGAAGCAAGAGAGGTGTGTCAGGATCGTGCCAAATGGAAGTCCATAATCTCTGCCTACCCCTCTGGGTGACAGGCGTGAGTGTTTTATGTGCTGTTATACCGCCATTTATATATTTGTTACACAAACATTACTGTAATTTATAAAAAAACTTTTTCTTGGTCTTGTGTTTGTCTTGATCTTGCATATTATTATGCAAAATTTTAAATGGCATTGCTGATATGGTGCTGCTGAGTCCCTCGATTAGTGCGGTATGTGCACTAACTACTCGAGGTATGTGAAAAATATGCGATGGATCATACCTATTGTACAACGCCAATAAGCCTGGTTGTTTTTTAAGAGTGGTACGATTCAAATTCATATCCCCAATTGAAGTGTCATATTGTTACTCAGGGTTTACGTGATGGTTTCAATATGGGTGGCGAGCGACGTTCTCTCGGTGCGTGCCAACTTGATAGCTCACCGCTTTCAGAGGTGTTCATTCCTATAGCTCCAAACTGGCGTTGTTTTCTGCCTACTGTCAGTCACTACACTCCTCGGCTGTGGACGCATCACACCAAAGAAGAGTATTGCACGCTGAACGTGTACAATAAAATGTTGCGTTGTAGAACGGGATAGTATTTCATGCTGTCACACCGCTTGCAACTTCATAAGACGCAAGTTCGGTCTCACGTAGAATACTGTTCTCATCTCTGGCCAGGGCGCCCCAGTGCCAGCTCCTTGCACTTGATTGCATACAGCGCAGAACAGTTCGAATCATCGGCGACCGAGATCTTTCTGATCCGCTTGACTCACTGGTACTGCGAAAAGATGCAACATCTCTTTACGTATTTAATCGACTCTACCACGGGGAGTACTCTGAAGAATTCTTCAGACTAATTCTAGCCGCTCAATTTCACCATCGCACATAGTGACAAAACACGCGATACCATCCATACCATCCGGAGACATTCATTTAAAGGCCGTCCAACACTGTGCGATTTACACAGGCTTCAAATTCTTAACTCCAGAATATATTAAGGATTGCACAAATACCAAGCTAATTGATATCTTACTTTTAGCATTACCTGGTCGCTGGGGAACCTGGTCAGAATGGTCAGTCTGCGGTGCAGACTGCAGGCAGACCCGACGCAGAGCCTGCACTGGAGACACGCCCTGCTCGGGAGCACACGCGCAGCACGCTGACTGCGTCGGAGACTACTGCGGTGTACATGGTGGTAAGTTCTGATTTATTATCCACATTGTGTGGTCACTATACTATTTCGACGGCTATTGATGGATATCAATTTACTAATACAAAATTATTATTATCATCACCATCATCATCATTACAGACTTTCTTAAGCCCACTGCTAAATATGAACTTCATTACATGGTTTTTAATACATAATACATTTTCGGAGTTTTAAAATATGAGTTGGCAGTTGCAAAAAATAAGTAAAATAAAAATCTTCAATGTAAAAGTATTTTATAGAATTAACTTTAACAATTGCTAATCAAGATGTCAAACACCTCCACTCCCGTAACCATGGGTGTTGAAAAGCGCCCAACACGTCGGGAATTAAAAAGGTTCAAATTAAATGCGTTGGAATTCATTTAATTAATTTTATACAAAGTATAGTTATTATAATTCGCGTAAATATAAAAAAGTCATTATATTATTACAATTATGTTTTTAAATACATGTTTTGAATTGAATAATACTAAAGTATTAAAAATGCTAAGACATAAGCGCCTAAACACGCCATGACTTATGTAATATGGAGAATCTTCTAGAATTTAATGCTATTGAAAATTTGTTTACCTTTGCGTAAGATTGACATCTGTTTCATGTGGGCCTTTAAACTCTTTGAATTTTACAGAACCGTTTATATTTTTTAGTTTTGTATAATTTTACCGTTGACACTCTTAAAAAACTTTTCAATTTCATCCACAAATAAACTGTTATTTACCATCAGGTGATCCGATTAGATCACCGCAGCTGTTAAAATTCCAAGTTTGTGTGACAGTACATAAACCACCCAATTTTATCACACCTATATTTCCTGTAACACGTCCCAGAGCATTAATTTTACTAACATGTCATCTTTATAACAGCAACACGCTTCAAATAGAATGGACGAACTAAAACTTTGTATTAAATTCAACCTTAAACTTATGATTCGCTGTCGCATGACACGGGATCTCAAGTTATGAAACTATTCCTCCAGGGACATGTTAATTAAGCCGATTCTATGAAAGGCACACGGATTCGTTCAACCAGATGCCATAGAACTAAAAATATACTTCCTTTTCCGCGCAAGCTCATAACTGTGAAATGTTACATGGACGGTCTCTTTATAACAAGCTATCGGCTGAAGCGATAACCTGCCAACGTGAATAGAGCCATGGCACCTTTACCGTGTATAGAAAGCTTTGACCAGAATGAAATATCAGGGGTCAAGGATAGGCGGACGCCTTGAAAAGATTTGAGATACTAAAATCGGGAGCCGTGACCATCTGGGTCGTATCATTCCGTCTAATTTTAGACGAGCGCCTAAAATTTTATGGAAGTACTTACGTAAGAGTGACTTACAATTTCATATCTTAATGTTCTTTGCTACAAAATTGGGCAGACCTTTATTGCCTTCATATTTTCACTCGTTTATATCTCTCCACAAATAATTGTTAGTTTGAATGCTTAACTTATTTTTTTTAAATATGTTACATTTGTCTGTAACTGTCCTACAGTTTATTTTCTTTAAGAGTTATAATTCGTATATGGGTAAAGATTTTATCAATTTGATTAAAATAAATGAAATGCATAGGGAAGCAGTAGCAAATACGTTTAAAATAGAAATAAATAAGTATGTGTACAATCGGATTTCATATTTTACATTTTTTAAATTGCTTTATAAATCAAATCCAATAAATCTTCGTTAATGATACCCATACCAACAACAAAGCGATTAAGCATTTATTACCTTTCCCAAACAGCTGGAAACGTGCAACTCCCTTGGCGGTCCCGATCCAATATTCTAAATGGAAAATGAAAATGATCAGTCAATATTTTGTGTATAAAGCCAATAAATCATTTTTGTGGTCTCCGTTGATTCGGTTTCAATTTCCTATGTTGTTTATCGAATATTTGATAAATAGCCGGCGGCTGTCTTGTGAGTGTTGTTCAGTTTACTCAACAAATTCTTCCTCCCTGCGAACGTTTTCGCTTTTCACGCTAAATAAATCTGCAATCTCCTTCATATTTGCCTATAGATTGCCTTTGTTTATCTCTCCGTGCAGATTGATTGTTATTTATTGCTTATCGTTTTTCAATTTTCTGATGGCGGTGTTTGAACAGCGATGAAAATGTATTATTTCGTAAAACTTTCTGGTCACTAGGTCTCTTATTCTGCTTATGAGACCGCCTGGGTAGCTACTACACCCTTACGTATTTCTTCCGCTAAATAGCAGTGCCCTGCTGTGTTCCGTTTTTCAGCATTTCATCAGAGGTGACAACGCATTTGTCTTGATTTGTAGTTGGTTGCCATGAGATAGGCTGTAAGTTTGTTCGTCACTTCAGATTTATAAAAAAAGTTTGAAGTTAGGCTAGGATATTTTAATCTTCTAAAGTGGTAATCAAACAAAAGAGTGACTTTCAATAAGTATTATTTATAATAAAAAATACTTATTGAAAGTCACTCTTTTAATAAGTATTTTTTATATATAAAAAAGTTTCTGTTTCTGTTTCTGTTTCTGTTTCTAATCTCACTAATTTAGCTTTTTTGTTAAACTTTCACTTTTATGCTTTATCTATAATGTAGTATGAAAAAAAAATGAAAAATGAATAATTGTTTATTTCTTTCGTCGAACCGTCGGGGCTCGACCAGGTCCACTTCCTATGGGGCCGCTCCTGGAAGGAAGAATTCATCATAAAGAGTCCCTCTTTCTCCATGAAGTCGGCCAGCTGCTGGGCCCTTGGGTTCCGTTGCCCTATTCCAAATTTCCCTACTTTCAGTTCACCGTTCTCTCTTGTACCTAGTTTTGCATTGAAGTCTCCCATTAACACCGTATATTGGGTTTTGGAGGAATGCATGGCTCTAGAGATATCCTCATACATTTCCTCCACCTCCTCATCGGGGTGTGCCGAGGTTGGTGCCTAAACCTGTATGACCTTCATCGAATACCGTTTGGTGATTCTGAGTATAAGGATGCTGAATATAATATATATATATATATACGCAACCCTCGTCGACACACTCCCGATCTTTACAACGTTGTTAACGAGAGACTTGTGGACGATAAATCTGACACCTCCTTGGGACAGATGGTCGCCCTCCCGGTGATAGAGCAAGTTGCCGGATTCGAGGATTACCGTGTTCTCTCCCTCTCTTCGGATTTCGGATAATCCTATAATATGCCAGCGCAACTTGTCTATCTCTTCTTCCAGCTCCACGATCTTCTCGTCAGTCCTCAGGGTGCTTACGTCGTACGTACACTCGATGTAGTATAATACATATATGCTCGATCTAGTATAATGTATATGCTCGATGTTGTATAATGTATATGCTAGATGTAGTATAAAATATCGCCCAATTTACTAGCAATATAGTGTAATAACAATTATAATTACAGGTTGTTTACTTCAAAAACGTACTTTTAAAAAAGGAAAAGAAAAACCTGAACTAGGTAACATCTATATTATCTTGTTATTTAACTTAATATATTATAATAATCACATAACCTATACAAATATACACTACATAACCTATAAAAATAGATTATGTAGGTCCAAGAATAAAGTAGTCAGTTTATTCAGTACTTCATTAACAACATTGATCGAGTGAGGAAAAACTCTACGTACCTTACCGTCCGTGCCTTCCTCGGAACTAATTCAAGTATAGCTATACTGAGCCTCTAGAATATGGAGCATCAGTAAATTACCCACATGAAAGGTGAGCGGTGAATGCGAAGAACGCTTTAAAGGCCCATTCATTTGCAGGGGCGCCCGCGCGGCCCGTTTCATTAGCCTAATTGCCAACATACAAAGGGGAAATGGTAAAATTTTATAGCGGCTTTTCATCTTTTGTTACATAAACATTCGAATAGTGTGTTATTTGTAAGAAGTAGGCTTCGTGCAATTTAAAAAAAATACAGAATGATTTCAAAGCTAGTAAGTGACTACGACCATTTTGGTGAGCACTTATATAGAAAGCGATATCATTATTTATTTTGATATGACCTGATAAAACATGCAGGGAGTCGATGGAAACAGGTGGCTCAGACTCAGGACCGTGCATTTTGGTAATTTTGTTTATACTAATATGTGGGTATCATAAAGGTAAAATCAAATAGGCTAAATTTTGTAGCGGTAAGACAGTGCAATTTTTTTTAGGTTATGTTTGTTAGCAAGTACTGATTTTCATAAGCAAAAAAAAATCTATAGGGGAGGCCTACGTTAAGCAGTATACACGGAAGGGCTGAAATTATGAGTAAACAATATAGCGATCAACGATACGCACTTAAGTTGTGCCGACTTTTTTATAAAGCCTATAATATTAATCGTTTAACATTGATAAAGATAAGTTTTTATTGCTTCTGTGATGATTATATTATGATTCTGAGATTAATATAATAAAACTGTGTCGGCGTGGCTTAAAATATAAACAACTATAAACGATTACAACAATGATCCTAGCGATAATTTCTGTCATGATCTTGACTTGTCAGCACAATACAAACAAAAAAACGTAAGGGGATTTATACACGATGCAGTTCTCATTATCGGAGGTGGGCTCCGTAAATGATTTGTTGTGATTTCGCCGAGCGAACGCAGCGGGTGATCGCAAACTCCATCCACATATCCCTTTAAAATTACCACACAGCTATAACCGTTACACGGAATAGCATTAAGGACTACATTCCCATATACGCAACGATTGTTGAATTTAATTCGTAAAGGCCTCCTACCACTTTATGGCCAACGCGACAAGGGTTTGTATATTTCGATTGGATTTGGTATCTGCAATCTCACTGCAACGGACTCGGATGTACGGCTGGCACTGACAAATGTTTGCAGAGTACAAATTTCAACAATAATGTTCAGGGGTTGCTGGGGAAAATATAGCGACTTGTTCTTTTTAATTCTCTATATTCGTGATTTAAATAACATCTAGATTTCTTAAAATATTCTTTTATAAATAATATTTTTAAAGTTTTATAATAAAAGTTCTAAACTATG